CACCTTTGGTTGTCATGTTCCACACCATGCCCCTACTTATAGCCACTCACTTTCCTGTCTGTCACTCCTCCACTTTCATCAGAGGCCTTGACTGATTAGCCATATATAGTTCTGCCATCATCCTGACCAACTCAGAATCCAAGTAGAAAGTGAACACCCTAACCTGTAATTCATTTTTTGGGGGTCCTTCAGCCATTGCATTTTACTTCACCAAGAACCTGACCCTGCAGCTACTTCCCTGGGTCTCATTATCTTTGAAATTGTTCTATTTCTTGAGTTTCAACTCCAGTTTTGTTCTCTGACCATTGCCTCTTCCCCTTCTCTCTCTCTTCTCCTATCACTGGGTGGTCTTGAAGCTTCTAGTTCCTCAAGCCCTCTCCATTTTTGCCCAGTTATCTCCTGACTTCAGTCTTATTTCTGCTTGGACCTCATTAGACATGTTTAGTCACTTTGAAACAACATTGTGCATAGACAACTTGTTTGCTTTCTTCATTTGGTTAACAAGAAGTATCCACCATCACATAACTCCCAGTTACCTTGTGTCTCAGGTTAAGGAGTTAGAATTTTATTTAGTTGACAGATGGGACATATCAAAGGCTTTTGAGCAGAGGAGTGACATCACAAATGTGTATTTTAGAAAAACCACTGACAAATCTCAGCAGGATATCTAAAATGGATATAACTTTTCATCTGCATTTGTCAGAATCATTGCTGTATTCATTTCATGAAAGAATATAGCATCTTTTTTCTCTATTGAGTTCTGTTAAGAGGTCAGTAAAGGGAAGAATGAATACTAAGTCATTAGGTCATGAGAGTATTGCTGATAAACATTTGAGAAGGACTTAAATCAAGACAGTGGCAGTGAAGAAAAGACCTCAGGTCATGAACAGATGAACTCATTGAGACAAAGCACAAAAGACGTCCTAACCTTATGCAGAGTGTTATAGAAACTCCTAGGTCTTCCCTCACCATCAGCCATTCTGGAATTTTCAAGTAATTTTAATCTCTTTCAATTAACATGTATGGTATTCTGATTTGCATATAAGTCATTGAATTCTACAGGAATAATTCTCATGCCACTGACAGAAAGTATAGAAGTATCATTGCAAAAACTTAACGTGAAAATGTAGCATCCCCAGAATGCATTTTTTCAATGGGAAACTTCCTAAAATTATCTGAGTTTTGATTTCTTAAAACTTTGGTAGTTGATCTGAACTTAACAAACAAGTTATTGTGTTAAACCATAAAACCTTATAAATGGGATTTTGCATAAGGGTGGTTTTTTTAAAAAGTTTTGAAAAAAGCTTATAGTTAAGAAGTGAGAAAACAAAGTAAAACCACCTCTCTCCATTTGTGGTTTGTGCATAGACAGCTTGTTTGCTTTCTTCTTGGATCTGCCTTTCCTTTTGGTTAAAGGATCAGCTGCCCAACTGAACTGGATTTGACTTGCAATGCATCCCTAAGAGGGAGGAATGGAGGGATTTTTCAAATACTTCCCAGTTGGCCATGGGTGTGAATAGAGGATGGTCTGAAAAGCTGGAGTTCTCTTGTAAACCAGCTCGTGCCTGAGTGCTTCCCAAGATAGTGGAGAGTAATTACAAGGAATCAGTAGGGGCTTTGTGGTTTCCCCTTGAGAATATCTTCCTGTAAAGCTTCCCTGGTCCCTCAGGGGTTAAAGTCTCAGCACTATCAAGCCAGCCCCAACCACTGCAGCAAGAGTTCCATCCCCTGCCCAGGGAGCTGACCCACCTGGCTCAGCAGACCTCTCCTGTCTTGCCCACTGCTCCGCTCAGCAGTGTGTTTCAGTAGATCCGTCTGTTCTGCTCCCCACTCTGTCTCTGATGAATCTTCTTACCACCTACACCCCAGTTCTTTCATGCATAAATAAATAAAAATCTTTTAAAAAAATGAATGTCTTCCTCTACTTTCTATGAGTAGTAAGAATACAAGTAGAATAAGCTGAGTAAGCTGCAGCATTTACTGAACATCTGCCATGAGCATCATTTTTTGAAAATAGTCTTTTTGGTAACCAGCCCCCATCCTGAAGCTATCCCATAGTCCACCAAGAGTCACTTCATTAGAACAAAAGGCACTCCTATCACCTAGGAAATTATAAGAGATGCAGGAACTCTGTCAAGGATCAGGGTCAAGACCAAATATTAGAACTCTTGCTCCTAATGTTCTTATCACTTAGGAAATTGCAAGGAGCTTAGTTCCAGAATCCAATGGCAGAGACCAATATGTATGGTTCTATTATTTCACAGCAGGTAATTTTCCTTTCTTTTAGAAAGGTGAACATTAAGGAACGTTGATCATAGTATGTGCTCAATAAATATTGTTGAATGGATGATTGAAATAATTAGCTTCTTTTCCCAAACAGCTTTCTATTAAAATTAGGTGGCGCTCATTTAGTGTTCTTTGAACGAATGAGATTACATGGACTGGTTCCTTTGGCTACCTGAGCAGCTTTCCCTCCTCCTTTCCAGCTTGAGTCATCCAGAGGGAGCCTCAGAACTGATTGCTAAAACTGTTTGTACCTGGTGTGATTATAAAGCAATGAGACTGATTGTCATGTGTAGTTTGTGGGATCCGTCTCAGTTACTTTATAGCCATACCTGGTATCTTATACCACAGATCATTGCCTGTCAAACAACATTTTAGAGGCTCAAACCTAAGGTTACTAAAGGAAAATTTAAAATGGCTTAGCATTATCATGATTTACTCTAACTTACTAATCAGAACTCTTATTTCAGAAAGATAATTAGATATTAACTTTGTTTCTTGCTTTAATTTTGCAGTTCTCTTTTTGGTTTTGTTTTGTTTTTGTTTTTTTTTTTTTGGTTTTGTATTTTTAATCAATGTTCTGATTAAGTGGCTGACACAATTTAAAATATGGTAATACAAAGGGGATATGTTCCGCTGAGTTAAAATTTTTATAAAACCTTTTTTATTCAGTTTCTTTTCAGATATATGTAGTCTTTTGACTTGATGTAATACAAGAGTAACCTTTTTTTTTGCTATATATGATAAGTGAAACATAAATAATCAGTATTACTGTTCATAGAAGAAGCCTTTGAAACGATAATTTTGGGGGGGGTTGTTTGTTTTGGCTGTTTATAATGTCAAAACCTTATTCAAATTTTAATAAGTAGTCATATTTTTTTCTTTCCCAAAATGCTCATTCTTTTTCCTCTGATCTCCAGAGTCTTAGGGGCTCTTAGAAGAAGGAAAGTTGCAGGTTGCCACAGGCAGCTGTAGCTATTGAAAGGACGATCCACCGACAACTAGAGTGATGGCAGAAAGGCTTCTCTCTTTCCTTAAAAGAAAGTGGGAAAGCCTCTGCAGCACCGGTTCGTTCCCCGGCCGCTGGCAAGGGTCCCACATGGCACGCAGACCTCTCCTGCCGCCACTGCTGCTCCCCTCAGCAGTGTATTTCATCTGTCTGCCTGTTCTACTCCCCGCTCTGGCTCTGGTGAATTCTCTCACCCTCCCGCACTTCTGACTGTACCCAGTGCTTATATAAATAAATAAATAAATCTTTTTAAAAAAAAAAGTGGGAAAGTATTCTCTTTGCAGATGAGGGTAGGTGGAAATTAACTTTAGTTTGTGGTCATGGCAGAACATGTTGGTATTCACAGGAAGCTGAAAGTGTTTTGATGTCAGTTAGTCCAGAATATTAAGCTTTGGTCATATCTCAGAAAGAGTTTCATTTCCAGAAGGGCTCTGGGGTCAACCGGAAGGGAGCCTTCCTCCAGTCAGTTGTAGTTCATTATTAATAAAATAGAATATTCCACCATTTAGAATTTTGCTGTTAGAACGCCTACTGAATTTGTGTCCTAAGTGTCAGAGACGTTATAAAGCCTGCATTGCATATCCTGTATGTTTTTCTACTCTTTGTACTAACTCTATTCCTTTGTACTAGTCCTGCACAAGGTAAATGTTCCACAGATGTTTCTAAGAATGGTTTGTGCACAAGTACCAATTTTAATATATATAGCAATGCTTTTCTACATTTTCTTAAGGAGTTGGGACTGTCTGATGAGTTTTTTATAAATTTTTTTTTAAAAAAAAAGATTTATTTATGCAAGAACTGGGGTACAGACCAGAGGCATGGGAGGGTGAGAGAATTCACAGAGACAGAGTGGGGAGCAGAACAGGCAGATCTACTGAAATACACTGCTGAGCAGAGCAGCAGGTGAGACAGGAGAGGTCTGCTGCACCAGGCGGGTGGCTCCCTGGCCAGCCAGGGATTGAACTCATGCTGCAGTGGCTGCAGATAGCTTCACAGTGCTGTGCTTAACCCCTTGCACCACCAGGGAGGCTCTACTTAATTATTTTTTAAAGATGTGTTTATTTATGTATTCAAGAACTGGAGCGTAGGCCAGAGTATAAGGGGGTTAGAGGATTCTTCAGAGGCAGAGTGGGGAGCAGAACAGGCAGACGGACCAAAGGTACTGCTGAGGGGAACAGTGGGCAAGGCAAGAGAGGTCTGCTGCGCTGTGTGGGTATCTCCCTAGCCGGTGGGGAATCGAACCTACGCTGCCGAGACTGTGGACAGCTTCAAAGCATGGCGCTCAACCCACTGCACCACTGGGGAGGCCCTCTTACTAAGTATTTTTTAAGATGCAAAAGATTTTATAGCAAAACCCTGCCATGATTTTATCACATTTTTATTGCTGTATAATATACTTTATACTGTCTATTGTCACATTTGGCTGATTTAATAGTCTATTTTTTAAATATAGTTGTAAAGCGAGTTAATATGGTTCTTAACACTGCAGTCATCTCATGCTTAAAATCTGTTTACGTTTTAAGTACTGTGCAACAAAGTCTGTGTTCCCACTTGATGCCAGCATACCCAACTGCAATTTTACTTTATTTGAAAAAATGAATCTGCAAGCTTGCCATTAGCAAAAATTCCTAGGTAGCATTTTTGTATATTTGATGTTCCTGTAAATTTTAAATGTCACTTGAGTATATATATTTATTTTACATTACAGGCACTGGAGATATTATTGCCGTCATGATTACAGAATTGAGGGGTAAGGATATTTTGAGTTATCTGGAGAAAAACATCTCTGTACAAATGACAATAGCTGTTGGAACTCGAATGCCGCCAAAGAACTTCAGCCGTGGCTCTCTAGTCTTCGTGTCAATATCCTTTATTGTTTTGATGATTATTTCTTCAGCTTGGCTCATATTCTACTTCATTCAGAAGCTCAGGTACACAAATGCACGCGACAGGAATCAGGTGAGCTGCTCTATGGTGATTGATGCCTGCCAGTCATAATTCCTGGATACATGTGTGTCATATATAATGCAAACATTTTTTCATTAAAAAAATGTTGTGACCTTCAGTCATTTACTATGTTGAGAACTACACAAATATTTTATATAAAATTTTAATGATGTTTTAAATGCCTAAATGGGAAAATTAATACATTTATAATGATCAGTTAGAATATTCTAGGTAGATGGTTAGCATAATGTCATAATAAGATCTAGCTAATTGTAGTAATTTGAAGAAATATCACAAAGTTGCATTTTAAACTGATAACACTGGTAGTCAGTGGTAAGGGGAGTGGGGAAGATGGCCTTTTGTTCTATATGAATTTTTTTCCATATAATTTGAAGTATTATCCCAACTCAGAATAAATAAATCAACTAAAATTCAATCCCTCTCCAAGTGCTGCCATGGAGTGAGGATAAAGTGGGGAAGAGATCTGTCTAGATAGTCCCACTAGAAATTCCCATTGATGAACACAGACTGAGCACTCAGAGGATTTTGGTTGAATGAATAAAAGACTCAAGAAACAGTATGCTGCCCTGTACCGGAGGGTCTGAAGATGTGAATTTTCTCAGTTTGTTACTTAGGTTTGCTTAATGTGCTATAGAAAGAATGTTCACAGCCCCAGTCTAGACATTTCTTGTAGGAAATTAAGAAATAAATTGTTTGGGCCTACCTGGTGGCGCAGCAGGTTGAGCGCCGTGCTGTGAAGCTGTCCTCAGCCTCTGCAGTGCAGCTTTGATCCCAGCCGGCCGGCGAGAATCCTTCATGGCGCAGCAGACCTCCCCTGTTGTGCCCGCTGTTCCCCTCAGCAGTGTATTTCTGTTGTCTGCCTGTTCTGCTCCATGCTGTGTTTCTGGTGAATCCTTTCACCCTCTTGCACCTCTGGACTGTACCCCAGCTCTTGTATAAAAATAAATAAATCTTAAAAAAAAGGAAAGAAATTGCTTGGAGAGTGGTTTGAAGCCAGTTTTTTATGCAATACATTCATCTCCTTACATATAAAACGTCCAGATCTCTGTGGGCGAGTTAAAATTTTCATCTTTCCTCATTCTATGAAAGGATACAGACTTTGGTGTGGAATAGATCTAAGTTCAAATCCTGGCCTTACCATCAGTTTATCATGTTCCCTCTTGGACTTTTTATCTGGGTTCTCAACTTGTTCTTCATCTGAAAATAAATGTAAGAGATCTGAAATCTATAACTTATTCAATATTTATGCCAGGCTTTGTGCAGTGATTCTGCACACCTTTTAAATTTATAATTTTTATTAAAATAAAATACAATTTTATAATTTCCGACTTAATAGAAATATTACGTGTATAGTAATAGAATGCTATATAAATGGATTCCCATAAAACCTAACCTATATAATTTGGATATCTTAACCTAACATACGTCCATTGAAATCCCTCCAAGTTGTATCTGCAGTTCTTTCCTTTTTATTACTGGGTAATATTCTGTGACTTGGATTCTAATTTCTGGCTGTTGTAAATGAAGTAGGTATAAGCCTTCATATTCCAGTTTTTGTGTGAACATGAGTTTTCATTTCCCAGAGATAAATATTAAAGAGTGTTAATTTCTGATCTATTGTGGTAAACATTTAATTTTGTAAGAAACTACTATATTCTTCCCCAAGTAAGTGTACCATTTTACTGGTCCCCCTGGAAATGTGTGCCTAATCCAGTCCTCTGCATCCTGAGAAGTATTTGCTGCTTTTACTTTGGTCATTCTCCTAGGTGTGTGGTAATATCTGTTGCATCTCCATATTGGCTACTGATATCAAACATCTTTTCATGTGCTCATTTGCCATCTACATATCTTCTTTAATGAAATGTCCTTTGTTCATTTTCTTTTTCAAACTATGTTTCTTGAGGTAAAGTTACTTTACACTGTTTTATCTGCTTTGGAGATTGTAGGTTTAAATTTCTACAGATATATGTTTTTATACCATGCCCACTTGGACTGTGGTTTTCTGTTGAGTTTTCAGTGTTCTTTATATATCTAAATACAAGTCTTTTGTCAGATATTAGGTTTGCAAATATTTCTCCCAGTTTGTATCTTCCTTCATGGTCTTTGGAAAAATAGGTGAATTTTGATGAGGATTAATTTATCAATTTTTCCTTTTATTGATCGTGCCTTTTTTTTTTTTTTTTTTTTTTTTTTGTCAAGTCTTAAGATTGTTACAGTGGAAGTAACCCGTACCATGTATTTTAATATCCTGTATTTTCATTTACAGTCAATTTTGGGTTTTTTTCTGTGACTTCCTCTTTGACTCATGTATTATTTAGAAGTGTGTTAGTTTTCAGTAGTTTGGAGATTTTGCTGTTATCTTAGTGAGTCCATTATGTTCAGAGAAACATGATAATTTCAGTCCTTATAGATTTTGGAGGTTTGTTTTATCACCTGCAATATAGACTGTCTCATGTCCATGTGTGCTTGAGAAAAGTGTTCTTCTGTTACAGGGAGTGTTATCAGAGTGGTATGCTTAGCTTGCTTCAGAGGAGGAGGTGGGGTGAAAAGATCACCTTTCGTGTGGGTCCTGGTGCAACCAGAGTGAAAGAGAGATACTGTTTTTCCATTGATGTTTGCCTAGAGAAGGACAGATGTAGGCCATTTTTCCCGGCACTTTGGTTAGTCATTTTCTGTTGGCAGTTCCAGATTGCAGCCTTCTGCAGCCCATGGTCTGGAACTTGAGAGGCCACAAAGAAGCTCTGGGAACTCACAGCCCTGCGTTATTCAAATCTCAAGGTTCCTAGGCAGCTCACCATTCTTTCCACCTTTGGTAAACTAATCAAATGTGTAACCTTAAAATAGAATGCATCTGTTTTATCAGATTTTTGACAAATTCATATGTAAAATCAAGTTCAATGAAATGGAGGAATACAGGTCAGCTCACTAATAACAGAAGATAACATTCGATTATTTATCATCAAAGCACCTCACACAAAATTCTATCTAATGTATTTGAATAAAATAATCAGCTGAAGTTCTTCAGCTTCTTGAAGAATAATATTACTACATTTAAAAGTGTCATTTTAACCATTCTATTCAGTAATATTGCCTTCATTTTTATTTTTTTTAAAGATTTATTTATTTAGGCATGCAAGAACTGGGGTACAGATCAAAGTTGTGGTGGGTGAGAGAGATTCACCAGAGACAGAATGGGGAACAGAACAGGCAGATCGACGGAAATACATTGCTGAGGGAAGCAGCGGGTGAGACAGGAGAGGTCTGCTGTGCCCTGTGGGTGGCTCCCTGGCTGGGGATCAAACTTGTGCTGCAGTGGCTGCGGATAGCTTCATAGGCTGTGTCTTAACCCCTTGTGCCTCCAGGGAGACTCGCCTTCATTTTTAAATTTAAAATTTTTAACCAATAAAATTCTCGATTTTAAAAAATAAATAGTACCACAAGTCTTGATTCCTCACCCAGTCTTTTCTGACTCCTAATTCTTATTTCTGAGATACACTTTACTTCTTTCACCTCCTCTAATCTATTCTTTTACTAACTTGATATAGCAAAGTAGCCTGCTCTACTTTCTTTTAATAAATTGAAATTTTGTTTTTTAAATATGTTGCCAATATGAAACATTAAAGGTAAAATGATTAAGAGTTGATCTGACATGGTGCTCTTGACAAGAAAACCCTAGGACTGAATGCAGTACATCTCAAGGTCTTTTGAAAACAAGTGAATGGTTTGTCCCAGGAGTCTGCTTTTGGACAGTAGTGCTTTAATTAGCACCCAGTGTGGAGCCTGTGAGTGATGAGGGAGTCCGCGCCATTGCCATCTGGCATAGGCCACACACAGGAACTTGTTTTCTAGCATTTAGTCTGTGGCTGCCTGCTCGAAGACTTCCAAAGCATTTTTCTCCAGATGCTGTTATAGCAGAAAGTGATATTCTGACCTTTTTTCTTCCTTCCGTTTTTCCTAAGGTTCAGAAACACTTGATGAAATTTTTATGTGGCTTAAAAAGCTTAGCATATTAAAGTTTAATAAGAAGGTGGTGGCAATTCAACTAGTTGAAACCTTTGGCTATTTTAAACGAGAAGCCAGAATTACTAGCACAGGAAAAACAGTGAATTTAAGGAGAAGCTTTATTTTCTCCTACAAACTATCATGAAGCAGTTCTTTCTACAGAATATACTACCAAGACATTCTTATACATAAATAACTTCCAAGCACAGTGCAGTGGGATCTTTTATGTGTGAGATAAGAATCTGTTGCATTCAGCTTTTTAGTTTACAGCTAAGTATCTGGTTTGTTCTTCCTTAAAAACTGCTAGAATGCATCTAGATACAATGTAGAAGTATCAAGAGTCAGATGATGACTGATGGTAAACTTAAATTTCACTTTCTAATAAGTCAGTGATATTTATTTCACACAAAGGGGTAGATGTTTGCTGTGTTCATACTGAAAGGGTGCCTAAGCATTTTCTAAGAAATGCAAATTTTTTCACGATTATGTGGTTAATATTGTTCCTTTAATTCCAAAGTAGTCAAGTTTTTCCCCCAAAATAGAATAATAAAATTTTTATTTTACTATTAAGGAATAGAACAGACATAAAAAATCACAAAGCCTATTAGACTTCTCAGTTTAGGAAGTCTTCTTAGGAAAATTCCTTGTGAAAATGCATACAATTTCTAAAGTACTTAAAACTTGCCAAAATATATATACAGTAAATATCTCAAGGTACTGATACGAAATATGCTTTTGTTTCCCATTTTTTACCTTGGAAGGTAGCTACTTGGAGAATTCACTTGCATGTCCGAGTATGGAAGAACACTAAATGTTCTTCAGAGGAAGGCTGATATTTTACAAGCACAAAGTTAATCTTTGGGAAAGGATTGGATCAAACTGTTGGCTTCCAAATTAGGGAGAAAAAAAATAGTGTGTCAAGATTTTACCTATTCTTGTTAGGTACTTGAAAGTCAGCAGGACATAAGTAGTACTAAAACCAAGAGAAA